GCTCCACGCGCTAACTTGATAGATCTTTGTCGATGGCAACGCCACTCTGGAGTGTGTTCTGGCTGAGAATTTTTTTTTTTAAGTTTAAGTATTAGTATTATGTCAAAAATTCGAAAAAATGCTATTCGTCAATAGATGAGGGCAGTGCGTACAGCAGATCACATCACATACGTGGGAATTACACTGCGTCTCTGATGCCGCGTATGAGCATATTCAGAATCACCACGTCTGGGAGATGGTTCTGGCTCAAACAAAAATCTATTCCTCAATAGATGGTGCTACGTCTCAGATCCCCCCTACTGCAGATTCCCCCTGCTCACTCTTGCTTTTTGACATACACGTTACTGACACAGTAGTCAAGTGGCCAGTAGCTGTGCCAGTGTGTCTGTTGTACCCAGTGCAGTGGTTCTTTTCAGTTACATGAAATTTTAAACTTATCTGTGTCACTTACATGGAGTTTATATTTAAAGACAAATTTGCTGGTTTCTACGGGTATATTTCTGCTAGTATATATAACAGGGTTAATTGTTACTCACCGGTGAAGATTGGTAACGTACAGCTTTACGTTTCCATCTTCACGGTTCAGTAACAATTAACCCTGTTATATAATTATATATATCAGCATGCATGCTTGCTGCTTGCTTGCGTAGTTCGTTATACCTCATCTTCCCCCACGTAACACGATAAAACGTCAAGATGTAGAAAAACAACTGCAATGCTAAAAAACGAAGGTGTGCGTGTGGGCGAGGGTGCGTGTTTGTGTGTGGTGTGTGTGTGTGTGTGTGTGGTGTGTGTGTGTGTGTGGTGTGCGCGCGTGCGTGGCGTGTGTGTGTGTGTGTGTGTGTGTGCGTGCGTGGGTGATTGCGTGCGTGCGTGCGTGGTTGTGTGGTGTGTGTGTGTGTGTGTGTGTGTGTGTGTGTGTGTGTTGTGTGGTGTGTGTGTGTGCGCCTGTGTGTGTGTGCATATATGCGTCTGTGCGTACGTACGTACATGCGCATGTATGACGTAATTTGCCCATGCGTATTTGTTGCGATGTCCAGCGATGACGTCACCCGCGCCGGGGTACTTACGTTTAGCGATCACCTGGAGGTCAGGGAATGCAGATGTTGTCCTGCCGCGAATCCTTCTGTATGTTTACCTAGTAAACAATTAAGACAGCAGCGTTAGAGCGCTGTGTGTTACGTTCCTATCATTGATAATTGCCGATTCTCGGTCTATTCTCGTGTCGTAAAGTAACGCGCGCGTGTGATGCGTGCGTGCGTGCGTACGTGCGCTGCTTGCGTGCGTGCGTGCGTGCGTCGCGTGCGTGCGTGCGTGCGTACGTACGTTTCTAATCATGTACTCTGTTCATGATCTCTATTCATCTACATGTACTTACGATAATTTCCTATTACATCTCAATTTCTTTTTGTTTTATCACCAATATTTTCCTATTTACTTTGTTGTTTTTTAATTAATTTTATATCATATATCGTGTCGTGGGAGCTGGGTCTATCACATCATATCGTGGGAGCTGGGTCTATCACATCGTGTCATGGGAGCTGGGTCTATCACATCGTGTCGTGGGAGCTGGGTCTATCACATCATATCGTGGGAGCTGGGTCTATCACATCGTGTCATGGGAGCTGGGTTATCACATCGTGTCGTTGAGGCTGGGGTCTATCACATCATATGTGGGAGCTGGGTCTATCACATCGTGTCATGGGAGCTAGGTCTATCACATCGTGTCGTGGGAGCTGGTCTATCACTCATATGCGTGGGAGCTAGGTCTATCACATCATATCTGGGACTGGTCTATCACATCATATCATGGAGCTGGGGTCTATCACATCATATCATGGGAGCTGGGTCTATCAACATGGCATCATCATGGGAGCTGGGTCTATCACATCATATCATGGGAGCTGGGTCTATCACATCATATCATGGGAGCTGGGTCTATCACATCATATCATGGGAGCTGGGTCTATCACATCAATATCATGGGAGCTGGATCTATTATATCGTGTCGTGGGATGTGATCTATTATATCGTGTCGTGGGATGTGGATCTATTACATCATATCGTGGGATCTAGACCACATCGTGTGTTAGGTACCGGTCATGGATCTCACCTGTTTGTGGACGTAGTTGTCCACCTTGCTGTTCTGGATAGGACGCAGAACGAGCGAGTCCTCCCGGTTCCGTGCCACAATGTTGTATTCACCTCCACCGTGATCGGACTCAACTTGTCTCTTACGTTCGTCTGCAATATTTATAATTATTTGTGTATTTAGTTATAGTTCGTTTTTAGTTATTTAGTTAGTTAGTTATTTATTTATTTAGTTTTTATTTATTTATTTATTTATTTATTTATTTATGAAGGCGAATAATTTTTCCTTTAAATTAATTAGAAATGATTACAACCACGATTACTTTTTCCGTGTGTTATGATGGTATGCATTCACTCTGAAAAGGATGAGCAGAAAGAGAGAGACAGAGAGAGAGAGAGAGAGGAGAGAGAGAGAGAGAGAGCGAGCAAGAGAGAACGGGGAGAGAGGAGAAAGAGAGAGAGAGAGACACAGATAAGAGAGCGAAAGAAAGTAAAGTAGAGAGAGGAAGAGAGGGAGAGTAAAAAGAGGCGAGAGAAGTAAAGAGAGACAGAGAAAGAGAGAGAGAAGAGAGAGAGAAAGAGAGAGAGGAGAGAGAGAAAGAAAGAGAGAGAGAGAGAGAGAGAGAGAGAGGGGAGAGAGAGAAAGAGAGAGGAGAGAGAGAGAGCGAGCGAGAGAGAGAACGAGAGGAGAGAGAGAGAAGAGAGAGAGAGAGAGAGAGAGAGAGAGAGAGAGAGAGAGAGAGAGAGAAGAGAGAGAGAGAGAGAGTAAAAGAGAGCGAGAGAAGTAAAGTGAGAGAGAAAGAGAGAGGGAGGGTAAAAGAGGGCGAGAGGAAGTAAAAAGAGAGAGAGAGAAAGAGAGAGAGGAGAGTGAAGGAGAGAGAGAGAGAGACAGAGAGAGAGAGAGAAAAGAGAGAGAGAGAAGAGAGAGAAGAAAAGAGAGAGAGAGAGAGAGAGAGAGAAAAGAGAGGCGAGAGAATAAAGTGAGAGAGAAAGAGAGAGGAAGAGTAAAAGAGGGCGAGAAGAGTAAAGAGAGAGAGAGAGCAAGAGAGTGAAGGAGAGAGAGAGAGAAAGAGAGCGAGAGAAGTAAAGTGAGAGAGAGAGAGAGAGAGAGAGAGAGAGATACACTATAGTAACAAGTGAGTAACAGTATGCACCTACCCGGAGATAAACGTGGAAAGCTCGGCACCACTTCGTCTCCCTCATCAGCCGTATGGACGACGACTCAACGTTCTTCCCCTCGTTGTGCTGGAAGAACAACCGCTGTCCCACCGCCTTCTTCACATCCAACGTCTGTGTCACGTTCACCACGAGCTGCTGCGGCGTTCCCTTGCCGTAGTACTGCAGGCAGGAGGTGACGACGACGCAGGGTACGTAGGTGTTGTCTCTCAGGCGACAACCCTGCTCGTCTAGGCTGATGTCGTTCGGGTTGATCTTGAGGTTCGCTTCGAAGGTGACGACCGGACGTGATTTGAAGTGAACGATGCGGTCCGACTCGTAGGCACCCACGGAGAAGTCTGTGAGAAACAGGGAGAGAGGGGGAACGATGTGAGGTACTGGTGTGTATAGATCATCTATTTTTGTCATCACCATCATCAATGATAATGACCATGGACAAGTCTGCAGGAGATACAGAGAGATAGAGAGATATGATGGTGCGATGCTGGTGTGTATACATGATAAATAATTATCATCATCATCGTCGTCGTCATCGTCATCATCATCGCCATCACCATCCTCATCATCATCATTATCATCGTCGTTGTCATTATAATCATCATCATGATCATCATCATCTTCATCAACATCATCATCGTCTTCGTCGTCATCATAAACAGCAGCAAAAGTCTTGTATATGTCTATACATGTATTGGCAGTAATGCATGCAGGGCCGTAGGCTGAGCAAATTCCTAGGGGGGGGGGAAGCAGTGGCGGATCCAGGATTTCAAGGAAGGGGTGAGAAACAAGTGGGGGTCTTGGGGGTCCTCCCACAGAAAATTTTGAAAATGTAGATCGCAGGAGATGGTATTTGAGGCACTTTTGAGTACATGTACAGCCATTCTGACTACGAAAATTCTCTTTTAGTAGAACAATTCATTATTTTTATTTTGCTCCAAAATCTAGGGGGAGGCAGCTGCCCCTCCTTGTCCCCCGCAGGCTACGGCCCAGTAATGAGTAATAAACTCATTCAGACATCAGTCAGATGTCAATTCAAGCTGACGTCATATTCGCGCATGCGTACCTGGATACTCGTTTCCATCCAGGTCCATGCCTCCGGCGAGAGAGTAACCGAACGCGTGAAGTCGTCTGCTTACATCCTCGGCTAGAATCACCTGCGAACACGATACATGAAACATGACGTAGATGTAGAAAGATCTTTTATATTAGATATCATGTAACAGCTATATATTATTTAATACCCTCATACTATACTATATAATAATATACTATAATAATATACATATATATATATAATATATATATATTATATATTAAATGCGCGCCCTTAAACGACCATGGCGGCCTTCACACCCGTTGCGTGGCAACGCGAAAGCGGCGCACCTGTTCCGGCGCTTGCACGATGAAGCTGCAGTTCGTCGCTGAGAGGCCGTTGATGTTTGCCCGGTTGAGCTTTCGAGGTTGAAGATCGACGCAGTGGCGCATGACGCGGTTGCCGACGTCGCATACGATCACGCCCGCTGAGCTTAAGCAGTGATGTTCTGCGCTCGCCCTTACAGCACGTGATGTAGGAGCAAGCAGTTGCTGAGTCCTGCGTGACGTACACAAGAGAAGGTGGTTAGACGAGAGAGAGAGGGAGAGAGAGGAGGGTGAAAGGGAGAGGCGAGAGCACGAGAAAGAAGAGAGAGATAGAAGAAGAAAGAGAAGAAAGGAGAGAGAGAGAGAGAGAGGAGGGTGAAGGGGAGAGGGAAAGAAAGAAAGAGAGAAAAGACCACAGAGAGAGAGAGAGAGGAGAGAGAGAGAGAGCAGAGAGAGAGAGAGAAGAGAAAGAACGTTGTCAAAGCGAGAGAGAGGGGGAGAGTCAGAAAGAGCGAAAGAAAGAAAGAAAGAAAGAAGATCGAGAGAGAGAGAGAGAGGAAGAGGGCGATAGAGAAAGAGAAAGAGAGAGAGAGAGAGAGTGAAAACGAAGGAGAGAGCAAGATAGATAGTAAATAGGCTAGATAGATTAGATCTTAGCGCCAGAGAGAGAGAGAGAGAGACGAGAAGACGAGAAGGGAGAGAGAGTAGAGAGGAGAGACGAGAGAGAGAGAGAGACAGAGAACAGAGAGCATGCTAAAGGTCTTTAC